TTGCTTTAGTTTCATAATCTTCTTCTCTGTGGTCTTCTGAAATACAGCAGGTCTCATGGGATTCTTGAAGCGACCAGTTAACACCTGAAGCCACGAGACTGAAGGTTGCACCCTGAAGTCTCAGCCTCCCTCCATGTGTTAAGGCTTCAAGTTCACTGTGCTGCTCACCTGCAGCAGTGAGGATGCCACCTGCCCCTCACAGTAGCCACACCCAATTTAGGGATGAGCAGCTGATCCCCCACAACCCTACAGACTCCTCGATGAAGCACACTGACCTAACAGAATCGGCTTCTGTTAGGTTCTCTCACTTGCATTCAAAGGGAAAAACCTGAATGCCGCAGGGCTTCACTTTCTGTCCTCTTTTAAAACACCTGCCTGCATCATGTCGAGGGGACAACCGTCCAAAGTCAGGCTCCAGGTTGAGACAGGTCAGTGTCGTGTGCGGATTTCATAGGATGAAGCCCTATCTCTCACCCCACGTGCCTGTATTTGGAGAGAGAACCTTTAGGGAGGTAACACAAGGGTGAAGCCTAATCTGATAGGGCTGGTGTCCTTATAAGAGAAGGGACACTAGCAACCTTTACAGATCTCCCTCCCTCCCTCCCCTTCTCTCTCTTTTCTGCTCTCTCTCTCTCCCTCTTACCCTCTCACCCCTTTCTCTTCTCACGTCTTCCCCTCCCTCCCCCTCCCTCTCTTCTTGCACACACGAAAGAGGCCACGTGAAGACACGGTGAGAAGGTGGACATCTGCAAGCCATGAAGAGAGGCCTCAGGCTTCAGAAATCACCCCCGATGGGGCCTTGGACTTTGGCCTCCAGAACTGTGAGAAATTAAGCTGTTGTTTAAGCTACCCAGTCTGTGGTATCCTGTTAAGGCAGCCCACCCTGCCAAGGCAGCCCACCCTGCCTGATAAATTCAGTCAATAAAGAGCTGTATGGTTAGCATTATCCCATGAAAGTCAGAGGACACATATACAATAGTTTATTAGGCTCAATGTGACTAAAAAGAATCATCTGGGCAGAAAAAAAGTATTTCACATATGAAGGCCCCCTCATGGGACTGAGACCAGAATCCCAGACCCATCTCGGTGTGATTTGCTGCCGCTTCATCTCACAGCATGGTTGCTTTTCCTTTAAGTCTTTAAGCCTGGAAAACATTTCTTCACCTTTCTTTATCATTTAATTAATCCCAATTCAGTCCATCTGTCAGTTCCCCAGGGACAGTTCTCTGCTCCCACAGGGGGCCTGTCTCTCTGTCACACAGCCATTGTTTTACTATCAGTCTGTAAACTTCCCAAGGCTACATGGTGCTCAAATATCTGTAGAACAAAGTGGGGAAGGAAGGAAGAAAGCAAGGGAGATGGGAATAAAGTAGGAGAGGAGAGAGGGGAGCGAGAGACCAAGAAAATGAAAGAGAAAAGTTTAAGAATATAGTACATGGTGTCAGTCCATTTGGGCAGCTATAACAAGATACCGCAGACTGGGGCTCACACAACAAACATTTCTCTCTCACAGTGTGTTTAAGTCCAGGATCAAGTGTAAGCAGATTGGGTATCTGGTGACAGCCCACTCCCCAGTACAGAGGTGCCCATCTTCTAGCTGTGCCTTCAGGGGCAGAAGGGACAAGGGAGCTCTCTGGGTCTCCTTTGTAAGGACCAGAATGTCACTCATGAGGGCTTCTAACCACCTCCCAAAGGCCCACCTCCTACTACCATCACCTTGTGGGTCAGGATTGCAACACATGAAGTTCGGAGACAAACATTCAGTCTACAGTGCACATGCTTCGGCCCTGTCAGATGCAGGCCAGCGGTCAGGGCAGCACGGTGACCCAGCTCAGGTTCACCACTGCACCCCACGCTTCTGAGAGCTGGTGTGAGTTGTCCAAGCCAAAGCCACTAGAAAAGGCTCCCATGACACCCCAATGCTGCTGTGCAACAATCATGCAACCCTGGGACTGGAAAACTGCATGAACTAAATGAGTGCCCTGTGCAAATTTGGGGGCTATATTTACTCATTTTATACATACACACACACACACACACACACTTTTTAATAGAAACAATCAGTATGAAAGTCTAAAAAAAGTAAAATACTAAAAAAAAAATCCCACTGTGACCCACTGACAATCTTCTTTTCTTCTTCCTTGAGTTTTCACTCCCCTTCAGGTCTACAGCAGTGACTCTCAACCTAAGGTCCAGGGGCCTTTCGGAGGTTGTGCGGCTACTGTGAGGGGCTCACAAATGCAGCTACAGAGCAAGTATTGCCTATGGACCGAATACATCAAAACCAGGAAATTGTGTGTTGAGAGGGGTCCTCACATTTCCAGGAGCTTGAACAAAACTAGCACAGGGTCCTTTTCCGCCCCTAAACAGGCTCACAGGCAGTACACAGGAGGGAGGCCACCGACTCGGTGCTGCCGAGGCCCAAGCTCCTGGGCCTTTCTCCCTCTGGTGGCTGTGACTCTTGGGGCTACAAGGGGGCTCTTCTAGCTGAGGCACAAAGTCAGGATTCCAGGTGAGCATAAGTCAAAGGAGCAGGAGACAGAAAAAAAAGAGCAGACAGTGAGAACAAGCTGGCATCTCTGTCCCTGGTGAGTTCCCTCTGGCTCGCATTGTCCAAGACATAGGTCACGGCAATCGGTGGGTGCCAGAGAGGGTAGGGGACAGCATTTTGTTCCGTGTTGTGTGTTTCAGGTTTTCTTCCGCTCAGTCACACAGCTGAGAAATCAGTTCTGATCAGTCCTGTTGTCCATGGCACTGACAGAAAAGATCCACCTGTGAAATGGGCCCCACTTCCTCTGTCTGAGCCAAAACTCTTTCCAAGCTCCCTGGGGGCCTCACGGGACTGCAGGTGCCGCAGGGCCTGGTCCAGTGCTTGGAAGGATGTGGTCACTATTTGCTCACCAGCATGTGTGACCTGCAATAAGGTCTTTAGAGGAAGTGATGCCTTATAAATCCATTGTTGGGGTGATGATCAGTTTGGACATTTATGGGGGGAGGTTGGTGAACCCAAAGAAAAACCTGGAATTTATTTATATAAAAAATTGTGCATTTATTCTTACATGTTTAAACTTGTCACCTTCAAAGTGCTCTCCATTTGATGCAATACACCTATTGAGACATTTTTCCCACTGTTCAAAACAGTTTTTGAACTCGTTGATCTTGACACCTTTTAGCGCCTCTGCCATTTTTGTCTCACCTCTTCCACATTGTTTCTCTTTGAGGACTTTTTCTATCCAGGGAAACAAAAAAAAGTTGCTCAGGGTAAGACTGGGTGAATAGGGAGGGTGGGGTATGGGGTTCATGCCATTTTTGGGTCAAAAACTGCTGAACACCCAGCAAGGTATGGGCAGGTGTGCTCGTAAATCACCCATCAAGAAATGGGCAAATGCATTGAAAGAGTCTTCAAAAAAAATTCACTGAAGCCAAACGTAGCCTCTCACAATAACACCAGCTGGTACACTGATACAGATGGGTTCCTGGAACACTCACCTAGCCTGTACTACAGAGGGAAGATTGTACTACAAGGGACTCGCCCTCCACAAGATAATTCCATTTGGGGTGCATCTCTCTTGTATGAGAGAATGCTTCATAACAAGTGATTCCAAGGGACTTAATATACTTTTCTTCTCATCTATGGAGTTTACTTTTGCCTGCTTAGATAATTTGCAGAATTTAAGAATAACTAAAAGATCTTATTGAACAAAGCAACTGGCACTCACCAGTGAGAACAGTTAGAACAGGGTATGAGCTGTGTCCCATACACAGCCTATTGTGTGTCATAATGAAAGGAGTCCCATCCCTCCCACAGCATGGCCCTCTGGGCATCATGTTAACATGCCACAGGCCTCTTCCCTATTCTATGTACAGGCTTAGCGGAACTCCGGCCAGCAAAGGAGTAAAAGCACTTGCCAAAAGCCTGCAATGTCTGAGATTTCAAGGATACCCCGAAGCCATGTTTAAATTTATCGTCATCATTTTAGAAGAAACCAATAATTTTTCTGCATGTCATATGTGTGTTCAAACACACACACAGATCTATATAGTTGAGTATCTCTGCAAGCCCTCAGGCTTCCTAACCAAGGTGTGGGAGACACAGGCAGGGAAAGAGGAGTGATCACCCAGCACCTCAATACAGCCAACATGACAGTGACCAGTAGCCAGAGGTCTGGGCTTCTAGTCACAGCCCTACTGCTTCAGGTGTGTAACTTTGTGCTCACCACCGAGCAGCATCTCTGGAGCTACTTCTCTCTCTCTTTTTTGGATTTATAAACTAAGGTTGTTTGGCTCCTGGATGACCACACAGCTCTAGCTCTGACAGTTTACCCTGCACACCCTTTTGCCTAGGATCACACTTACACTTTGGTTTTAAAGAAGCCCACTGTGGAAGTAATTCTCACTTCAGAAAAAATAATTTTTTTTTAGTTAAAAAGTGCTATATGGAATTTGGACAGTTTCTCCAACTGTGAATTTCAGTTCTGTTTGATTCCACACCTCTAGTCCGTATTTTTCCTATTTACTAATTCTAAGAAATAGTAAGAGATGTAGAAACTCAAGAATTCCAATTTCCTTCCAGCACCTTGTTTGTTCCCAGAACTTCTTACAATCAGGACTGTTTCTTAGAGCAGGTTTTAGTTCACAGCGAAACTGAGGGGAAGGTGCAGAGATTCACCATGTGCTTGTGCACACCCTCTCCGTTATCACGATCTCCTGCCACAGTGGTTCATTTGTTACAACTGATGAACCCACACTGACACATCACGGTTGCCCAAAGTCCACAGTTTACACTAAGGCCCACGATTGGTATACATTCTGTGTGCTTGGACGAACATATAATGACATGGATCTCTCACTCTGGTACCATACGGAGTACTTTCACTGCTCTAAACATTCTCTGTGCTCTACCTATTCATCCCATCTGCACCCACCCCCACCTCTTTCCAGCCTCTGGTAACCACTGATCTTTTTACTGGCTCCAGAGTTTTGACATTTCCTGTACGTACCACAGTTTATTTATACATTCACCTACTGAAGGGCATCTCGGCTGTTCCTAAGTGTGATCAATTATTAAGTGAAGTTGCTATAAACACCCACGAACAGGTTTTTGCATGGACATAAGCTTTCAATTCCGTTGTATGAATACTAAGGAGCATGACTGCTGGACAGTGTGGTAAGAATTTGTCTAGTTTTGCAAGAAACTGCCAATCTGCCTTCCAAAGTAGCTGCACCATTTGACATTCCCACACTCAATGAGAGACAGTCCCGGTTGCTCCACGTCCTCGCCAGCAGTTCGCGGGCGAGTGTTCTGGGTTTGGGCCACTCTAACTGAAGTGCAGTGGAGGCTCGTGGCTGTTTTTCTTTGCCTTTCCCTAATGCCGCAGCACGTGGAGTGTCTTTACATTCGCTTACTTGTCATCTGTGCGCCTTCCTCAATGAGGCGTCTGTTAAGGTCTTTGGCCCATTTTTAATTGGGTTCTTTTCTTATTGTTGAATTTTATGAATTCTTTGTATATTTTGGGTAAGAGTCCTTTATCAGATGTGTCTTTTTCAAATATGTTCTCCCAGTCTGTAACTTGTCTTCTTGCTCTCTGGGTGTTGTCTTTTGCAGAGTAGAACTCCTCAACTTGACTGAGGCCAGTCTCTTCTGTCTTTACTGTATTGGACCCTGCAGTCCTAGAGGGAGGCGCCGGGAAGCTGTTTTCTGTTGAAATATCAAAAGGGAGCCTGTTCTTCTAACACTGCATTTTGCTAATGTCTATTTCAAAATATTAACATTTCCTCTTTGACAATGAACATTACAGCTAAATTGCCACAATGATACTTCATTTATGTATCATAAAATGCTTCCCTTGGAGACAGATTCTACATAATAATGGAGTTTTGCTAACATGTTAATACTAACCTTAAAAGCTGGGAAATTTGCATTTTTCCCCATCAAAAACAATTCTCTTTCACAATATGCATTCAAGAAAATTTAATACTCGAACAATTGGGAACGTTTAACATATTTACTTCATTTATTGCAGATAATTGATTTGAAGAGGGACATGCTTTTGAGACCGGCACTTTAAACCTGTATGGGAAGGGTTCTTCTTGCAAAGCAAAAGAAATTACCTCTGCAATTAAGTCACAATCTCCCTATGAAATAAGTAAAATAATTCAAGTCTGCATCTCTAGTTATGATAACATGCACATGTGTATGTTTTGCCTTAGATATCAACCATGTGTGTGAACACATATGTTTTCCAGATGAACCACGGACACGGAAGCCAGGGCCTCTTGCTGCCACCCTGTATAAAACTAAACACCAGCCAAAGTGTCTTACATGCTGCCTCTCATTAAATAATAATAACAACATTAGAGTTAAAATCAGTGGTAGAAATCTGACAAGATGATGACAAAGAGCTCTCCTGACCAAAAAGGAATCCCAGGACTACCACCGGTCCAGAGGGGTTTGCAGGCAGTAGACTTGGCTTCTTTTCACACACCAAATTCCTCACTCCTAGATATAAAAGCCCTTTTCCAAGAACAGCTTCAAAGTCAGAAAGCAGGTGAAGGTGGATCAACCGAAGCCAAAATTTGCTAAATACAAAATTCTCCATTTGAACGGCTGTTATCTGTTTTCTGAACCCCTCACTTCATATAAATCACTTCTCATCAGGGTCTCCGCCACTCCCTACTGCCAAAGCCAGTGACTCCTGTTTAAGCTTCAACTTCTTGAATCTCTTCTCTACTCAGACATGTTCAAAGGTAGCTTTTATGAAAGGGTAAAAGGAGTAGGCAAAAACAAAACAAAACAAAACAAAACAAAAAAACCCACACACCATATATTTCAAGATCTCTGTACAGTTCTATTTTCTATGATTTTTTAAAAGGAATCATTCATTCATTCATTCATTTATAGAAAGCAGGGAAGGGAAGGAGAAAGAAAGGGAGACAAACGTGTGTGGTTGCCTCTCACATGCCCCCTACTGGAGACCTGACCTGCAACCCAGGCATGTGTCCCGACTAGGAACTGAACTGGTGACCTTCTGGGTTGCAGGCCGGTGCTAAGTCCACTGAGCCACACCAGCCAGGGCTATTTTCTGTGATTTTACCATTATTTGTTTGGCTCCTCTTATAGCGATTCACCCATTTTTTTTTCAGCTAATTATCAGTTTTTGGTGGTTTATACATTGAATTGAAGTTATCAGTATGCATTCCTGAAGCATTTTACTTAAAGGGAAAATTTCCTAACTTTATCCCCTGAAAAGGCCTAGAATAATGACTAGCCAAGTTGGAGTCACCACCTTGGTGATCACACTGTGTCTTGCCATCTATTTGCACTCAAACTGCAGCTCCTTACACAAATGGCTGATTCAGGGTCTGGAAACAAAAGAGTACAATGAGCAGGGAACGTCTTATCTACCAAAGACAAGGAGGATCATGTTATTAATAAATAGAAAGGCAAAGAGATAATCGACTGATACATACATGCACGTATATATATATACATAATACCATATATACAGTTCACAAGCCAATCAGAAGAGGTTGCCCTAGCCCCAAATCAGATGAACAGAATAATGACTATAAACGAACCAAACAGAGCAAATGTGTTTAAATCTGAAAGTTCATGATTATCTTTTAAAAAAATAATAATAACTGGCCACCTTTGGAAGAGGCTAGCTAACCATCCCATTTTGAAACTGGTAAATAAACGGAAAGCTCTGGCATTTATCCGACTTCTCTATGATGAGCTATACCTTAGGGTGACTGAGCCCTTGATACAGAAAAGTTTCTCTTATGGAAGCACCCCAGCTACTAAACGAAGGAGGCTGGAATGAGAGGATTCCATCCTGTGTCTCCCAACGAATGAGTGCGATGCAGCAATGACCATCAGCAGCTGCTGCAGTTTCCAGAGCCAGTCACATCCTTCCAAAGTTTCAGGTGAGAAAATGCATCACTCAATGTCTACTCAACACCAATGGCAAAGGGAATAATGTTGAAGCTAATTTTACCTTTTGGGTTCTCTTCTCTCCAACTAGTTAGAGAAACTATGAGCTATTCTGTGACATCAGTGCGCAAACTTTCTTCAGGAGAGAAACTGCCGCCTGTCAAAGGGGCAGGAGACACCTGTATATCAGCTCATCCTTGGGCTCACTGCTCTGCTTCCGAGCTTTTTCAATACAAATTCTAATGTCTTTCCTGAAATTAAAAGAGTAAGTCTGCCTTTCTTGGGAGGGAGGGGGTGGGAGGTCTGTGTTGTCCTTCTCTAACCTAGAGATAATTGAGTTAAAGAATTCAAAGAAAATTCCCTACAGAACAAAACACATTTGGATCTAATTCTACTGTTGAGTCCTCACTGACTTCTTTTAAATTAAATGAAATGAAATTATATGCAAGCTCTGGGTACAGTAATTTAACCACTATTTTGATCATTTCTCCTCTACTTAATTAGCAAAACTGAACCATTAAGTAATCTCATTAAAAAAGGGTGAGACAGGTAAATGGCTTCCTGAACCTTGAAATTATCAATACTTGACCTTAAAAAATCAGCACAACCTCAAATGGAGTTTGATCAAGAGGCCTCAAAAAACACAGGCAGCTACATTAGGGGGAATCAGTAGAGGCCCTGAGAGGTGAGGATGCACCCATCGTAGCCAAATGACTCAGCTAGCTACAGGCAAACGATTTCATGGTGCTGTACCTCTTCCAACCCCCAACCCTCCAACCAGAATCAACTGTCACCTTTGAAGAGAATGGTGGACCCTTCTTATGTAAAGAAAAACTGCTCATCTCTACGTGAGCTCAAGCAATAATGAGATGAGGCCTGTGCCTGGATTTGCTCAGGGCATTGTTTAGGGAATCATCTTTCTCTAACTACGAAATGCTGATAGAGCTCCGGTTTCAACAAACAGCACTGGAGTTCGGGCCAAAACTCTAGAGCTCTACAGCCATGATGCTGAACAAAAGAAGCCAGGCTGAGAGATTCCACTGCTGTGAAGAGTACAACAAGCAAACTAATCTCAGGCAAAAAAATATAAAGCAGAAATTACCTAGGGAGGGTGAATGATGGGAATTTTTTGGGGAGACGGAATGATCATGATGGGGTATAAGTTACACAGGTATATCCACTTGTCAAAACTTCATAGCTAAGAGTAGTGCTTTTCAGTGTATGTAAACTTTAAATAAAACCAACAAAAGCAACATCATCACCCTGTGGGGGTAAGAGCTGATGAAGGTCGAGATAAGAGGGCAGAATATTGGTAATTGTTGAGGTTGGGCGATGGGCACGTGGGGACGGGGGATCACCATTCTATCCTGTTTACTTTGTACATGTGCGTACTTTTCCATGCAAAAGGTCTTTTAAAAGACCAGAACTTTAACCCTCTACTCTATACTACTGAATAGCTAACAAGTCTCTGGGCAAATCTCAACCATTCTGAATTTCACTTCATTCATCTATTGACAGGAACTAACGATCCCTGCATCCTTCACTCAAAACAACTCTAGGTTGTTGGAAAGTATCAAGCAAAGGAATGGATACAAATGTAAATTTTGAGCTGTGAAGTAATAGATAAATATAGCAAGTTGATAATAGTGAAGATTCACAATTACTAGTGGACCACATTCCATTTAGGAATGTTTGAAGACATCACTAACATAGTTCTTTCAACAGAAAGATGAGGAGCGTCTATTTGTTTTTCAATAATTGTTTCCTAAAAAAACAGCAATAGAACTGACAGGTCAAAGGTATGGATAACACAAATGTTATTTATATTTGGTTACAAAGTATACTCTATGATTTATTTTGCATGACCTCCTAATAATGCAAAATTTTCAGCCTTCAGAGAAAGTTTGAGTGCCTTGCGTGTACATCCACACGATGCCTGAGAAAGGACGCCTTAAGAGCACACTCCAGAAGGAGGCTGGTTCAGGACTTTAAATGATATAGATAATGCACACATTCAAAATTAAGAATCAACAACTATAAAATCCATTGAAGTTTGACCATCCAAAATAATGTTCATGAGTTCATATATAATCACATTAGAGAGAAAAATATAAAATTCTTCATGTGAATTGATTATACTTAGAAATTAGAAAGCTAGATTTCTAAACATTTGACTCTCTAATGTCATGGCACATGTATAATCAACTCAAGGAAGCCCTTTATTTGATTTTTTAAAAACTTGGCTGTTAGAATAACCCTAGTCAGTTACAACTACGTATCACAAACTACAACTT